TCTCTCTCTCTCTCTCTCTCTCTCTCTCTCTCTCTCTCTCTCTCTCTCTCTTCCCGTGAAATAAAGAGTAGAGGTTCGAATGATTCAAGAGAGAATGTAAATGCTATAGAATGTAGAGGGGTTCTTTTATAATCCTCTTAACATTCAAATAGAATTTACGGTCTGGTATCTCCGTCGGTGGAAACCTTTTTCTCCCAAAGTCTGAAATGAGATTGAAGCGTTCCCAGCTAACTTTATTTCGACTCGAAGCAATGGATGTTTGCCGGGCCAATACTCGTACATTGGTTCCCTCGAAGTAGCATTTCTCTAAAGAATTTTTCCAGTTGGATACTCCATAAAATAATAGAAGCGGACAAAGTGCATTCTATCTGGAAATAATGACTAATTTTAAATTCCTGATCTAATCGTTTCATCGTAAACAATTTTCCCATTTTTCGCCACATTCTCAACCCTTGGAACAGCGAGATCCCATGGAGCACCATTGTTCCTCCCTCGCCGAGCTTGATATCATTTCTCTTCCACCACCTGCATTCTTTAGTACCTACTTAAAACCAAACTGGTTTTTCGCAAGCACAGTTAGCACTCGTTTGCAACGACGTTTTCCATTTGATTATCATACGTAGTCTCTGCGATTCCACTGTGTTAGCCTCCGTAACCTTCGATGGTGCACGTACAGCATTTACTTCCTGTGATAAAACGCTCGCTGGAATGAGTATGCGCTTTCTTTCTCTCCGTCGCGTCGGCGTCGCACAGTAACTTGTTTCGATACCGCGGCAAACAACCACGAATCGCAATAAACATTAAGAAAGAGTCGCAATGCGAGACCACCCGAGCGCGCTCAGGATGATTTCTGTAACCGAAGTCGTCCTGGCGCAAAATTGATTTTCTCGAAGACGAAGAACGTCTTCGGGGTGCGGTAGTTTTCGCAGCGGGATGTGTGCAAAGAGCCTCGTCAGATTCGATGCACATCGTCCAGTGGTGTTTCTTTTCGATGCTTTCTCTTTTCGTGGTATGTTGACGACAAAAATGTGCTCACCTACCGTGTCTGCAACCTGAGAAGCAACTCTTGCAGTAACCTGTAAGAAAGTAGCAAGCAGGTGTGCTACTTCGATATGAATGCACGTTTGCGCCGCTGAAAGAATCGAGTCTAACTTCTTCGGCGAAAATCCCTATTACCTGTATGTATATCAACGCGCTAAAACAGTGTCAATTATTCGAGATAGTTAGGTAGCCGTGTTTTCGCGAAATCCATTAAATCTGCGCCGAAGTGAAACGTAACTCGCGCCGATTGCCATTTCCTCGCCGTCTGCCGATAAATCCAGCAACCGTGGAATTATTGCGTTTCACCGTTGATTCCCTGCATTCGATCCCTTTACGTCGACGAACTTCTGGCCGAACGTTATTATGGCGAGGCTCTTCGCAAATGACGTCGAAACAATGCGCGTCGCTTCTGTCGATATCTGTTGGAAAGGAACTTGTTGCAGCGACGAAACGTTGGGAAGAGCATCGATAGAATTGTCCGTCCGTTAATCGAACGCGACGCTTTTTTACCCCCCCTCCCCTAAGAGCCATCGAATTTCACGACAATTGATTCGTTAAAAGTTTCTTCGATGAGGATCGATGCACGAGGAAAACTTTTGTGGAGTTGTAAGAAAAGGGAGCGCGAGCGAATTGAATTTATTTCGATGTAAAACGAAGGAAAAAGTACACGTAGATGATTCACGAATTCATGATTCATGTCTATTCATGGAATAATAAATATACGAAGCTGTGTCTTGTAGGAATTGCATTTAAACAAAAATGAAGTTGATCTCCATATCTCCTTTCGTATATCTGACTGCGAAAATAATACTGATTCAGACCCCTGTAAAGTATTTTTATCACTCATATGTATGTAAATGAGTTATTCAGGTGGCCCGTCTAAAGTGCCGTGTAAGTGCAGGGTGATGCACTTATTGTTAGAGGTGCATCCCAACATGTCGGGACCCAGTTGAGGGGTGAGGGTTAGAAAAACAATGAAAAAGGTGCATATAAAAATATCAAGTTAACGATACTTGTCGTCGTGCCATTGGATGTTTAATGTTTCTCAACCTTGCGCCAAGTTCTCTCGGTGCAATGATTCATTGCGGTAGCCGGTAACAGGATATTACGCTCGTGTCGCAAAGCATCGATAAAACTTAACGATACATCTCTCTGTGGAAAACACGCTGAGAGAACGGAACTGATAGCCAGCGTTCGTAAAAGCAGTGTTTGCGTTACGAGTGGAGCCGATGGCACGCTCCCAGTGGATACATCTGTATCGCAGCCAGAGAAAAATGGAAGAGATGAAAAGCAGCTGCGTAAAGACAAAAGCACAAAATTAGACCAGATTCAGGCCTAACGGTACTCGAAAACATCGAGATACATTAAAAAGCGTAATGCGAAACCAATTTCTACCTAAACAGTTGATATTTGTCGCTAATTACTTGGTAATCGACGCGACGCCGACGCGACGTAAAACAGATAGAAAAGAAAAGAACAATCGAAGCATTCCCACACGAGAGACCCGCACGAGAAATCATCCAGGACCTAAAGGAACGAATCTCAGCTTCGAAGATGCATCGTCCTCGTCTCGAAACTTTTTTCTAAAAAGTTTGGGGCACAAAAAACCCCCCTATCCCCCTCGACGATTTTAGCTCGAATCCGAGGCTTGAGCATTCCCAGCAAAAGTGTTACGAATGCTTATCGTAAAAGACGAAAATAGACCCCCGTGAAGGGGGGACAGATTTTCATGGTTCCGGTCTCGCGGCGGAAAGTATGGCGAATGATTCCGGCCCTAACAGAGGGAGAACAGAGTTAGAGAGGGAGAGGTAGAGTCACGCGTGAATGCACGCACGTGAGGCGAGAGACGCGTGTGTGCATATAGGTTCGTGAAAGAGGGGGCTGAAATAGAACGTTCGCAGAGTCCACGCGACGCCTGCGTTTCTCCTCTCGTATAAATACACGTGTGCGGTTACCTTCGAGGTTCCTACCCTGACTGACAGACGGAGGGTACGACGAGGCGCCACGACGCCTAGACCGACGCCTGGCGTCGCACGCAACGCGACGTTCGACCGTGAAACGCTTTATCGGAGCTTTCTTGCTCTGACGCTGTTGCGTATACTTATATATATATATATATCTTCCTGGAAAAAAACTGGCCGACGCTACTTACGAATATTTTATCCCCATCGATTGCTGGGGGCCTTTTCCAGAGTTGGGCAGGACAGAACAGATGAAAGTTCGAGTCATAAGTCAGGGACGAATGGAAGAACGTCACTCTGGAGGAAAATTGAAATAGAACAAACAACTTTTGGATCTCGCAGAGATCTCGAATGGAATTATTTGTTGTTTGTTTATGTTATCGTTTGGCAAGGAAAATGATTGTAGTTTATCATCCATTTTCACGACGCAATGATCCAGGACCCCAAGTTATACTACAAAGCCACCCCTCCACTTTGGAATTTGTTATTCAATGTTACTGTGTCGAGAACAAAACTAGACCAACCCAGATCGTTATTTTTCGCTCGATGCCCTTACATTGTCTCGAAAAGAGAATCCGACCAACCCATACCATTACTTAACGAGGCAGATTTGGGTTGGCCTAGGCTCGTTTTCAAGACAATACCAAAGAACAAACAAGAATTTTTCTACACCGTCTCCCCTCTTTGCGTTCATTACAGCTGTTAGAAAAGCCCTTTTTGATCTAATCGTGGCGAAACACACCGATGCCGTCCATTAAAACTGGACAGGCGTATCTTCTCTATTCATCCGATAACCGCAATCGTCGTGCACGTAATTATTCCATGGCATGCGTACCGATAATTTATTCGTTTGTCGCGAGGCATTAAGAAATAATAAGCCTGTTAGGCGGAGGAGTGTTTTATCGATCATTTTCGCATCGCCAACTTTCCCCGAGCAGGAAAGTTTTGTCTCGTACACGATACTCGAATAACAATTCACATTTTGCTCTTTAAGGGAGCATTATAAAAGAGAATTAATTAATAGTACTAGTACGTAGGTTTCATCTGTACTTTATCCAAACGTGTTTGTCTGTTTCCAGTGGACTAAACTTTCAAGATCTGATGGCCAGACAGGGTGCTATCGATTCCCCGCCGAAAACTCCTTTTATTATGGGGTCCGAGTGCGCAGGTGACATCGAGCAGGTCGGCGAGGGCGTGGAGAACTTTAAAGTAAGTAAACGAACGCGTTGAACCTTCCTAAAAAATATACTTGCTGCGACAAGTGGTATCATAGAATTTCTTTCTTCTCGCAGTTCTTAGTAGAACTTGGTTCGTCTCGTTACGGACGAATCTAGGAAGAATTGATTTAAACTTTCTATTCGATCGCTTTCCATTCGTTCCGCATAAATAATTTGCTAAAACGTGTACTTGAAATTGACTGGAAGCAATAACCATCGACGATGAAGATACGACCTACCGCGATGAAAGAATACTCCACCCTCTCTTGGCTACAATTTGCATTTATTATCATGTCAAACGGCTAGCTCTTCGCGTCTCGTCTGCCCGCTACTTTAGCGGTGCATGTTTTACGGAATTGTTAGTCTACACACCGCACGAAACAGAATGTCTAATCATCTTCTTTGCGACGACCGTTTAATTTCCTTTCTCTTTCCACGAAGCAAATACATTTTTTGCAAATGTACAAGCGTGCAAGAAGCCCTCTTCAAAAATCCTAAACATCCTCGTTCGCCAAATACTTTCTTCCGCGTCGAAGAAAGGATTGTATAGCCCCCGTCCCAGTTTCCAAAAAAGCACTCCGCCGGGTAGATAATCCCACAGAGGAGTGAACAGGTCCCACACAGCGAAGGAAACGAAAAGAATCGAATGGTCATCTCTGCATAGCGACGCGACAATGCTAAGAACTCGAAGGGAAGGTCTTCGAGGGGCGCGTCCTTCCCTCGCGTTCGAGGCAACTCGAATGTTCCATCTTCAGCGGAGAAAGCACACGGTTGAAAAGCTTTTGGCTACATTAACACGCCTCCCCCCCCCCCCCCTCCTTTTCCTTTCTTCGCGGTCGGTCGTTTACACGTGCTGCTCGGATATCTGACCCTATGCCTCAAACCTGCCCTCGCTCCCTCCCTCTCGTGACCTCGAGGAGTTTCGCGAGTCGCGAAAATAGACCACCCCGAGCGAACGTCGGAGAAGAGGATCGTTTTTCCGTCGGCGTCTTCGAGTCACGGACACGGAAAAGTACCGTGGGACTCCGCCATCGTGGAAAGATTATTGGGTGAAAAATTCAAGGACGAGAACAAACGTTAGAACGGAAATTCGTTACAGAGGGGTAGCTTACCGATAACTCGTGAGCTGTGGCTCTTTTCGTCGGCAAGTCGATGCCAAGAGAAGGTTTAAATCTGTTCTCGCTTCAGCGTTATTCGTTCTGTTAAGTTGCAGCAGGTTGCGGATATCGATGCAATTATCCTTTCATCCCCAGCATCGTATGTTTCTTTAAAATAACGATATTAAAATACCGAGTAGTTTGCTGAATGTGCAATGCACGGTGGAAAACGATGAAGGCGTTTGTAACACAGGAAACATTTGGCTACTTATTTTTCAGGTGGGCGATCGAGTGGTCGCGCTTCCTGATCACAAAGCGTGGGCGGAGCTCGTTTCAGTGCCGGCGACGTCCGTTTTCGCACTGCCTTCAGGAATGAGCTACCTCGATGCCGCAGCGATCACAATGAACTACACCGTTGCTAACATTCTGCTTTTCGAGCTGGCCAACCTGGCACCTGGAAAGAGTCTTTTGCTTCACAGCGCCGGCGGCGGAGTGGTAAGTTCCTCGTCCATTTGACTCGTTATCGCGGATACAAGGCCCGAGATGCGTTTCTATGAATGCGTTTCATTTTTCTACGATGCTCGAGTGACCACCACCCTGCCTCGACGCCTATTTATTGGACAAAAATTACCCTTGGTTAGAAAAAACAAACAAAAAAAAAAAAAATGAATGAGTCAGAGAATTTATACTTTTACATAGAAAATGAGCTCATTAGTGAATAATAGTCTGGGGAAACGCAACGGAGATAAGCGTTATCGATCAAATACTTGGATGACTCATCGCCAACAGACTGTTGGCTGTCCAAACAGTTGCGCGCTTGGGAAATATTCGTACACCAGGTATACGAAATTAAGTGTCCCTCGATCTTAGATAACGTTCATTTCTTTTCTCGAGCTGGGAATCCTAGAATCCTGGGGGAATTTCTAGGGATTCCTGCGGGGAGATAGCTGGGACTCTTTCGAGCAGGGTAATTAGATGATAGACCACGATGTTATCTCGATCCTCTGGTAATGGGATCCTAATACATCCGAACATTAAATGCGCTCATGCGCCAAGTCCTGGTTTACGGAAGGGGTAGCCTTTTATTTACCACCCGTAGCTCTAACGCGATAGACTGCCAGCGAGTCTGGCCGATACCGAAACAATGCTGGAAGCGGATTACAGAACTACTCTCGTCGGATTCCTCCAGAGAATAATGCGAGGGTGTCTGTTGGTTGCGCGGTTGAGGAAAGCTAGGATGAAAACGATATGTTCGTAATGGCGGTATCGTTGGAAGATCGTTTCATCATCTAGAAAAAGGGAGGCATTTTAAAGAATACAGTCAGAATTGGACACTGTATGTTTACATCTAGTTTACATATACAAAAAGATAAGAATAATAGTAATAAACAATAGTAAAAGTTTCAATGTCGAGCAACGGCCGACATACGGCTGTCAAGGGTTGACGGGTCCTCGAAAAGGGTCGAGAGCGAAGGAGGAAGGAAATACTGGCGTGGAAAAACGAGGAAAGTTGCTAACAATCGAACGTCGAATGACGAACGGCGAACGACCGTGATGTACCGGTTCGAGGTTACTGCCCCGCGTAAAAGTCGCCTGCAAGTCATCTGTGGAGGCTGGCCTGTCTCTCTCAATTCTCAATGTCGTCGAAGGAGAAGGCAACGACTGGAGGAGAAGAACGTCGGGATCAATACGGCTCAACAGGTTAGACTCGAAGTTAACTACATCGCCCTCGCCGTAGCCCTGTACCATGGAAGTTGAGACGACCAAATCTGCGGGGGATGCTGATGGCGAACAGGGAGAGCGGGAGAGGGATGGAGAATACAGAGGGGGTTGCGAGGGTTGCCAGGCAACCCTTCGTTCTCTCATCGACCACCGTGTCACGGGCCGCGCCCGTCTGAGACCATACCACCACCACGTGTACCATTCCACCCTTAAGCTCCGTTCACACGGCCAGCTTAATTCGATTTCGCGTCTCCGGCTTCTGGACAGAGGAGACTATTGCTATTCAAGGGTGTTGTTTACCCAGCGACTAATTGAGAGGACTCGCAATACCGTTGAACGTTACACTGGATAGTTTAGATTGTGAAAAACACTTCAATACGTTGTTAAGAAGGAAGATAGATCAATATATTTGGAGTTAACCGTTGCATATTGTTGTATGTATTTTATTTTAAATACAAAGACGAAATTATTAAATAACAGAAAGGATCGTGTGTATATTATTGTTACAGAATGTCTCTTGTTCGTAGAGACATCGTAAAAGACTAAATTGGATCAGATTACACACATCGAGATGATAAATAATCAACATCGTTAACATCGTTCTGAAATATGAATTGGGTTGGTATGAACGTCATCGACAAGCATCTTAACGCGTTACCCGACTCGAAGACGAAAACTTTACATGTTTGGCAAAATAACGTGAACACATAGTATGTATATTTTCGTATACACGGAATTTGGATTCCAGCATTGTTATTCAGGAAGCTGGCTAGCGAGCAATTAAACACATACTCGCGAGGATTCCATTGTCCTCGAGTTGGCTGAACTCACAGCAGCGTGCACACGGGTCGGGGCATCACCGAAGAAATTTTGGTAGACGCGACCCTCTCGTTCCTGCCATAGTTTCGATGCACGTTTCGTTCAGCTTCGGATAATTTGCATTGTTTTGCCTCGTAAGTTTGGGAAATTCAGAGATACAGAAAAAGAATTTAACTTTGAGAAGTATCTCGTACTTCAAAATATATCTGATGTTTTAGATGGTATAGATGCTATGTAGATCGTTCATATTTTGTACAATTTTTTCTGCATATTTTCTAACATTTACTCGTATTTTTTGTAAGCCTGTTTCTCACACAAAAGAAAAGATACATTTTGTCAGTATCGTAATTGCAACGTAGCTTTACGCGTTAACCGTTTCAAGTCTTACCGTGTCGCGCAAAATAATTAGATTGGATCCAAAGTAAAAATGTCGTAGCTTCTAATTTTGATATTACTCGTCGCGCACTGTCCACCGACTTGTCCAGATAGCGGCATTCGTAATCGTCGGTTCAAGATACGGACAAATATGCAAGAATGTATTTCCCCTAGCTAGCTGAAAATCCATCTCGATGGCCCCTTTTATGACGTACAATTTCGAGCGGCTTCTTAACATTCTGGCCCGTCCGTTCTCTTCCCCTTTTTGCTACCTCTTGTCCCTTTTTTCTGCCTTAAATTCTTGTGCCTCTTCCCCGGGGCCACGGGATTGGCCGTGTTATTGGGTATCGAATTCTCTCGACAACGAACGCAGCCAGACCGAAGAGCGGTCAGCTCGATTCTCGGAAATAATGAATGCTGCTTCTGTTGAAAATCTTCTGGCAGCTTACCGCTCAATTTTTACCCCTCTCGATGCGCGAACGATCTTGCTCCAAAAATAAAGTCTTCTGTGCTCCGACGCTTAGTCGTCTGTGAGAATTTGTACGATTTAAGCTTTTAAAAGTATACAAAATCTTTGGGAATATTTCAAGGATCGCAGGTGATATGGTCCACCAGCAGTTTGAAATCAAAGGAGCACCGTTACCTGTCCCATGTCAAATTCGTATTTAATCGCTCCTCTTTCTCTCTCTGTGTGTTAGGGTCAGGCAGTGGTCCAGCTCGCCAAGACCGTGAAAGACGTGACCATCTTCGGTGTATGCAGCAAATCGAAACACGAGGCCCTAAAGGCTGCCGGCACTATCGACCACCTCTTGGAACGCGGCACGGATTACTGCAACGAAGTCAGGAAGTACGTGCGAAACAACGCCAGTGATAGATTTAACACGTTAAAAAGCAAAATCCAACCCTTTCTGGGAAAACAGATTTGAATTTGTATAAGAATCAATCGAGTATCGTTTAATCGACTGGTGTCGTTAAAGTGTCTCTTCACGTATTTCGATTTTATCACAGGATCTCCCCTGAGGGCGTGGATATAGTTCTCGATTGTCTGTGCGGCGAGGAATGCAACAAGGGATACGCGTTGCTGAAACCTATGGGGAAATACATCCTGTACGGATCTAGTAACGTCGTCACTGGCGAGACAAAGAGCTTCTTCTCGGCTGCGCGATCGGTACGTGATGGATACCTCTACTTTATTGTTCCTCGCCCCTTAAGGGGTTAGCCCATTTTGTTGTGCTTAAACGGTGCTTCATAGTTTTACGAATAAAACGCAGTTTGTCCTGATTAAGAATTCAAAGTATCGTAGATTTTAGAGTAGATATTTTCAACCCTTAACTAACCTTTAAACTCTACAACTTAATATCAGAGATACGTTTCCCAACCTTTCAACTGTACGTACAATTGAATTGGATTTTCAGTGGTGGCAGGTAGACAAAGTGTCGCCCATAAAGCTCTTCGACGAGAACAAGACGCTCTCGGGACTGAATCTTCGCCACCTGATGTACCAGCACGGCAGCCATGCGTTTGTACGCCGAGCAGTGGATCGTGTATTCAGCTTGTGGAACGAGGGCAAGATAAAGCCTGTGGTGGACTCAACGTGGGCCTTGGAGGACGTACCGGAAGCCATGCAGAAGATGCACGATCGCAAGAACATCGGCAAGATCGTTCTGGACCCGAGTTTAGAGCCGAAGCCGAAGCCTGCGACGCCCGCCAAGGGAAAAACGAAGGACAAGAAGGCGGCCAATCAGGAGGAGAAGAAAGCGTCGAGCGTAGAATCGGAGGAGGGCGAGAAGAAGAAGGAGCCGGAGTTGACAAACGGAACGTCCGAAGATAAATCCGACAGCGGTAATTAAAAAACTAGAATTCTCGAATCGTTATTTCTCCTGCGTTGGTTAACAAAGCTCTTAATAAATTTCTGAAACCAATGTACTTTAACGTATCACCAAGAGGCAAACAGCAGTCGACCTATTTCTAATATATTTAATTCGCCGTTCCTCTATTGACGAACCTTGTTTCTTTGCTTGCAGATTCCAAAGAGAAAGAATCGAGCTGAATTAGCGGCGGTAGCTGATTCGATTGTGCGTATATATATACATATAAATATATATATATATATTTATATTATATATATAAATATATATAAATATAAATATATATATATATAAGGCAAGAAGCAAAACTGGTATCCCACAAAGATCTAGAATTTTCAGATAAGTACTAACTTCATTATTAAGAGGGTCATCTACGATTGTTGCCGCACGGGAAAGCCGAATTTGATCCAACAATTGACTATATAACGATCTCGGAAAAATCGCAGATGACGAACTTCATCTTCTTCTTAAAGAAACAAAAATAGCAAACAGAAATGAGAATCGAGCGATGCTTTACACGGGTTAAATTGAATAATTTAACGAATTGTCTGGTTTCATCCGGGATGTCGAATTAGCTCCAGAATCATTTGCATGCTTCTGTTCCCTTCCCATCTGTTTGCTGCGCTGAGAGTTCGAGGGAATCGTAAGTAAAAGTGATGGAAAAAGGATTAAAAAGAATTAAAAAGAAAAAAAAAGAGTAAAAACGTGAAAAAAACAAAACGAATAAAAATAAAATTTAAAAAAAAAAAGACAACAATCATCCCTCGTGTGCGAACAAGAGGGAAACAAAGATACAAACAAACGACAACCAAATACAAATATCAATTTCGACGCGGTCCACAGTAGTTTACAGAATATAAAAGAACTATTATTTTTATTTTTTCACACTGACCAAAACGAATTGATTTCACATAGAACGAACGCTTGTTGCACACCAGACTCGTTGGGCGGTCTGATAAAAGATAACATTGCGGTTGGCCTTTTTTCTGACGTGTATTTCCACGCTTTTCGTCTAACAGACTACTCGTACTTATCGAAAATATTGAAAGTAAAGAAGAAGAAACAAGAACATTGCGAAATACCGCCCAACGATCCTGCGCTGGCCAGCTAATCGCTACTTTATCTACTCGCATTGACTACTATTCGCTGCTGCGATACATATATATGCAGTAACATTTTACACTACTATAATAGTACCATTTATTGTAATTTAATAGAATATGGTAATCTAATTGAGCTTTGAGGATGGGAATTGCGTAGAGAAAGAAAGAGAGCGAGAGAATGCTGCCCGCCTGAAAGCTGAAAGGAAAAGTGACTGCGTAGTACTTCTTTTACGCGTGTCTCTCTTCTTTTTTATCGACTTTGATTTTTTTTTTTATTAACGAATATTGTCGCGAAACGCTATATTATTATAGCTTCGAAGTTTTAACGATAGTCAAATTTAGAGAGGTTAAGGCACTATCTTTGTACCAAGATTCTTCGTATTATTTTTAGATATACTTGTTCTTAAATTCTGTAAAGTCGACAAAAGTACTCAATCCTATGATTGGTATGCACCTTTAAAAGAAATGAAATCTACAACTTTTGCAACGATTTACCAACAACGCATGTCCGTTACTTATGCGTACTTTTTACCATCTTACGTAGAAAAACAAGAGTAGCGTTACTTGGAACGACTTTTTAAAAATATTTTACCCTTTTGACGACGATTCTATCAGACTGACACCTCAAATACAATCTCCACTCAAAGTTGTCCCAAGAATCGAGAATCAATTTTAATTTTCGTAACCAGTATCTTCTAACGGTAGAATGAACGATGGGACAATGTCTCAGTTTACGTGAAATCGAGTACCGATATTTTTCGACGTATGATTGTGACTATCGAGAAACCATTTTGTAAACAATCTTTTTAATCTATATACAGTCGAGTGGTGATCTGAACGATTGCATAAGAGAGGTACGTTAACGCAATTGATTTGTTGAACGAATGTTCTAATGGTGTTGAGAGAACGAAAAAAAAAAAAAAGTTAACGACGGATAATGCCGATCCTCGTCGTCTCATTTTAGGTGAAATTCGAGATTTTACCGCAATCGACGAAATGACGAGAAAGATTTAATGGAAAAAAAAAAAGAAAATACGGAAACGGAAGAAAGAAATGGCTCGGAAAAGAGCGCGTTGATGCAGAGTGAAATGCATATCTCTCCGAAACGGTTGGAACAATTTTTATGTAGCTCGGATTCTGTTAGAATTTGATACTAGCTCTGTATACCAATATATCTATATTATAAAAGATCACTATAACAAGAAGTTGCGGACGAGGGGGAGCTATACATATTATATATATAAATATAAATATAAATAAATGAGTAAATAATTAAAGTAAGTCGACAACTTCTGTCGTCTTCGTGAGTCGTTGTTGGCCGACGCGTAAAAAAAAAGGTGTAAGAACTATAAGATTTATTAACTATATATTAACTACTACTACTATTACTACTACTACTACTACTACTACTACTACTGCCGTATCGAGTCTCTCAATCCAACAGTACACGAGTACTTGTATCGCATCAAGAACGTTATATCAATTTTCTGTAAACAAGAAGAAAAGAAAAAAGAAAATGGCAACATAGAAATCGTAGGCGAATAGATAAACTCCGTGGAGAAATGATCGACTGTGGCTACATATTTTGAGACATTTTTTAAACGCGTATGAGTACAGGCTAAAGTAAATTAAGTTCGAAACGACACAAGTTTCCTCCTCGCGAGGAACACGGTACACTTTTATTCATATAAAACGCGACGATAAACACATCATACTGTATATTTTATGTAAGGCTTTAAATGTTTCATCAAATAACTCTATTATATTATAATATATCTATATATTTGTATCGATCGTTTTCCCTATCCTGATCATTGGTTTAGGTCCGGAATTTTGTATCAGCGTCCTAGAATATCTGTAGTTAATGCTCGGCGTCGATGGACCTTTGCAACATCTTTTAACCCTTTACAGTCTGGAATCGGTCTTGCCCTTCTATGGCAACTGTTTTACCAGAATATATTCTATCGTACTGCTTTTATAGACGCACATATACAGGGTGTTCGCGTCGTTACTGATCGACACTTTTGGAAATGAATGGCATAAGAAAGACATGGAAGTTACGCTCTTTGTTTTTTATAAGGGATACTACTACAGCGTGAAATCGATTATCGACTCTTAAACAAACGCATTCCTTATACAAAATTAATCCTAAATTATTCCAGTTATTTCGATGAAAGGTTTTAAGCGACAACAACGCAAACACCTTCCTCGTATATTATGGCAACAGAAACATAGAATAAAGGAAAACTGTTCAGTTGTCCGTGGACAGGACTGCTTTAAATTGTTTAAACTGTTCGTTTCACAGGAGACAAAATCTCGCAGAGTTGCTGAAGTCAGCAGCTCGTCGTAAAATAATACAATGATCATTTTTCAGTCCCAACAGTTGGGTCTTAGTTACAGACACGTACCTTTGAATTTGTAAATCTTGCTCAGAGCGCTAGCGTTATTCTCGAACTATTTTACGTGTAATCGAGGAAACTCAATCTGTGTTCTCTAACACTTTTTGTATTCATTTCCAAAATTACAGATACCTCCTGAAACGAGATCAATGGGTAGAATTGCAGAGATCGGTTTATTCACTTTTAAGAGACCTGTTTGATACGTTTAGCTCATGAATATGCGCTCCAAGCGAACCCTCGTCTTCAAAAATGAGCATAGATCATACTGCGCAGTCTTTGTCCTAATGTGATTGCACTTGATCGAAAATTGTAACCACTATAATTTATTCTGCAACTTTTTTTAAGTAATTGGACCGTATCGCAAATGGGAGATTTCTACACGTTTTATTATGCAACCGCAATTAGGCTACGATTCAACCAAGGGTTCACCAAGAGTAGGACCAATAATATCATTCCGTAACAAAGGACGTACCATTTTGTTTCATTTTTCTATTCTCCTTCTTTCCGTTAACCGAGACCTACCTACATCGTGGGAGAACAGGACCTACAGTTTCGCAACGTGATACATCATATAATTATATGTAAAATTGTAAAAATCGTGTTGGGGGTTCGGGCGAAAGGGCAGATGTTTTCTTTGACCAGGAACCGTTCTTTTTTGCCCTTCCGGATTAGGAAGGGTGCTCTCGAGAAAGAAAACAAAAACATTTTTCGCCTGCTCTCCGGAAGCTCGATATATAGATTGTATTTTTGGCTTATTATTGTAAGACTGACTATGTTGCTATATTAATGATTGCTTCGAAAATATGTACAGCTGTGTTTGACTGATTCATCCTCGCACTTATCCTCAGCTCCTGTAATTTTCGTTTTTCTACGTAAATGTATCAGACATGTGTGTAAACGCGTTTTGAAAACATGTTCGGAGCGTTCGATGTAATAATAGCCTTGACAAGCTTACACGTTTTTAGCTGAAGCTTCAGCCTGCGAATGAAGATAAGAAAATTGTAAAATTAATCTCGAAATTGGGATATTGATTATCGAATAGGATTAATTAGACTGTATCGCGTATTTTCTTAACTACTTGCCTCCTTTAATTCTGCAATGGTATATATAAACAAACAAGTCAGTTGAAGTATTTTTTTTTTTTATTTTTTATTTGTATAAAGGTTATAAAACTTAAAAATATATTCAACACACTTAAATGCTGCTCTCTCGATAATATATTTTAAGTATATTCTGGACGGATCGCACAAGCGAGAATCAGCTTTTTACAAAGATTAAGATTACGAATAATTTAACATGTGCATAGATATGTTACTTTCGAATAAAAATTTCATCCATCGTCGATATTACGGACCTAATACTATGGAATGATTAGGTAAAAATCGTTGCTGTATGTGTTCGGGCATTAAAAGAGTTATTAATAATTACTATAAAGCAGACTTTTTCGTGGACGGTATAATATTGTTGTATGAATTACGACTCTGTTTGAAGATTTACAATTTCTTTAAGAGTTTCGTTAGACATCAATTTTTCTAACGACGAAACTCCTAACTTTATCAAATGTTGGAAAACAAAATCTTCCAGAGTCTTTTGGTAAACGAATCTCAATTGATTTGAACTTTTATCGCGTATCTTCAAATTATCAGTCATACAACATTTTTATGAAACTTACGAGTTAATATTGTAATCTTATAATAAATGCTATGTTACTAAAATAGATCTTTGATGTTCGAACAGGCAAATAACTATACAAAAGAATACGAGTCTTGTTTGTAGAGGCAAAGACATTTGAACAAATGCCTCGCAATCTTCCACGTGTTTTTCTCTTCAAAACGTGGCTCGAGTATGTGCTAAAACAACGTTAATGTCGAAAATTCTTTCTAACCTACTATTTACATATTACCAGCCAGAACCAATAAGAAAATAAGAAAGGTGGCATTTTCTAACACGAGTTACCAAAAGTTTTTGTAAATTCCTTTCGGATATTCTTTTCATTCGTAAGTACTAAGAAGGGCTATAGAAGGTTTTCTTTTTGGCGTGACACACTTATCGCGGAAAATTCGGTCTCGACTAAGTTTCATTTGTACTTGAGAATCTTTGCCTCCTAGAACACGCTGCTTCAACTGCATAAATTGTTTTGAACCGTTGAATGGCTGAAAACATCTGAATAAATCGTAACTTGTCGACTAACAACGCTAGATTACGTAATATATTGAGAATGGTTTAGTTAAAAAATGTATAAAAAATATGCATCTACATTTCTGTGCTAAATATAAAATTTTCGATATACATTATAACAAATGTTAAATGGACGGATTTAGGTCGCAACTAGCCCGATAAAACGTTACGATGAGAACAAAGTTAAAAGTATAAGTAGCTGGAACTTTGGAAATTTCTACTACATACGCCTGCATTTTATGTAGATACTATTCCAGCTCCGCACCAAAATATTTCATCCACGATTATATCGTTCTTCCTATATAATAATAATAATCATATTCTTTAATAAATTTACGGACGGCATTACGAGATTCGAGTAGAGAAAACATGGCAATGTCGAGTGAAACGTAAACCGCGAAACAGAAGCATTCACCTCTCTTTTTTTGTTTAAAAATTTTTACGTTAAATTGTACAACTAACCCACACTAAACTCTTGCGTTCGAAAATATCTCGTCACGACAACCAGAAATGATATCGCGAGCAGGATACTTGGCGTGGCTAACAACGTGGCCGCATTATATATTGAACAATACGGACACTGAGAGCTACCGCATACCTCGCATATATTCAATGTGTACGTGGGTAGAGCGTCGAATATCGTTTCGTTGAAACGTTCTGGAAAAAAATTAACAAATTAATTAAACCGAAGAGATTAAATAGAACTTTCGTTAACATAACAATTGTATAGAATTGTACCTGGCGAATAATAATCGTAGACTCTGATAGGAAGGTACCGCGACATGTTTGCAACCGGGTACCATCTTTCTATCGTGAAATTTACGCATGTTTCCTCTTGATCCAGGTAATCAAAGTAAAAGAGAACCTTCTTATCTTGAAACCGTGCTCTCTGAAGGTTTCTCACTTGTTTAGAGCGTATGTATCTGTCCAAGGTTTGTTGCTGAATTATGTAACCCGTTGGTATGGCTACGTCCAACACTGCCATTCCGGAGCGCGACGATTCATTCGTGTTTGTCCATCTGTAAAATAAATGTAACCGATATATATTCGGAGAAAACGATGATGACTTAAAAATATCAAAGTGGGATAATATATGCAACAAATCTTTACTTTTGACAACTGAGATACGAAATGTGAGACTGATTTCTGCCGTGGAAGTTTGCTCTGGTGATTAAATCGAAGGATTTGACCGGTGGTTGCGTTTGGAATTTGGCAATGTCTACGTTGTATTGTACCGACATTTGCAAAATCGCGTATCCAGCACCTTTTGCTTGTACTTTCACCGTTCCCCATGCTTCCGGTATCTATGATCATAACACAAAAAAAAAAAAAAAAAAATTGTTGAAAGTATTAATTAATCTTACATAGCAGTTTTACACGATATGCAATTGAAACATCGAATAAAAAATTACCTCGATCGTTTGAAGCCTTGCCAGATTATGGTCGTTAACGGTTAACGTTTTAGTTTGTCCTGGAAGAGCTGTAGCTTCCACGGTTACAGTCAAAGAGCTAACGTCCCTGATTCTCGATCTAACCGTATAATCCATCAAAGCCTTCAACGCCCATGCAGTGTCCTGCGTAGAAGCCCAACCGCCATCCGTTAATCTCTGCGCGTTTAGCCACTTTACTATAGGTTCTATCATAGTCTCTTGTCGTGCAACATGCACAAGAAGAGCGTACGCGGTGGTTTCGATATTCTCAGAGTCGTATTTGTATGGCAAACGCGGAAGAAGGAATGGTTTCTGATTCTCTAGCTTGTACGGTGGAAGAGGCACCTGCTCCCTTCCCCAATAAGTTAAACCTCCTTCTACGCGCGCGTGTCTAGACAAAATATTGAAAGCCTGACCCGCGATGGAAGCTTTCGCTAACAGCAGAGCGTAAGATACTATCGCTATATCGTAGGGTCTTCCGCGATCTTCCAGAAGCTTCAAATTTATTTCCAACCATTTCACCGCATTGGCAGCGCTCACAGCGACCTGTGTACCCAAACCCTCAGGTAAATCCTTGACGCTTTGCAGCGTAATGAGGACATGAGCCGTGAGAGTGATATTTCTGTGTACTATCAGGTCGTTCTCGTAATTTAGAGAGCTGTTCATTTTTCGATCAGGCAGCCACGTTACTTCGTAAAACGATCCCTCGCGCGTTTGATGTTTCAGCAACCACGACACAGCATGAGCTATCACTTCTGGATCTACGTACAAAAAGTTCTCCCATTCATAGAAACGAGCCTCTTGTAGAACACGAGCGCAATACGCCGTCAACCAGACGCTTGGCGTAGATTGATTCCAATCGCTACGGAACAAACTGAACGATCCATCAGGATTCATGAATGAAAGCTGCCGCTGATAACCGATGTTCATGTAATAGAAACTCTCCTTCTCCTGTGTTCTGTTACGTTGGTTTACCAAACGCATGTAGAGCACAGTGTACAAGTTAGCCGCGAAACTGAACATGTTTTGCTCCGCGCAATCCATGGGAAGATTTATGAGACTGGTGGCGTTAACAGGCATCGTTGGAAAGATTGGCCCAACTACATCTCCGACTACGCTTATCACTGCCTTGTTTGATCCAAATACGTAGTAACGATTTTCGTCGTACGGTATGATCGGAGTTTCTGTGACGTTAACGTGCATATACTGGAATACATAGGCACGATTGCTCAAATCAAGAAGAATAGACTGATGTCGATACTGAGGAACACCGTCAGCTTCTACGTGTAAATTGCGTGTAACCGAATCTCTTCCAATTACAGTCGTCGCGTAAATGTGTACTTTTATGTCTCCAAGCCTCACTGGTACAATAGGTAAATAAACGATGGAAGCATCCTGAGCAGGAATCCAAATAATAAATTCATGTTGACCAAACGATGTGCGAGGTTTGTACGATTGCACGATTCCGTTATCTTCGACGTGAACGAATTTATAATCCTTGGAACCATCCAAAACTACAATGGCTTCTATATTGTGGCGCATGTAATTGAAGACAGAAACTCGGATACCGATTTGTTCTCCTTGCCTGCTACGAGTAGGCATTTCGACGTTGATATAAAATGGTAAGATTCCCATGTATTTGATAGCTTTCGGTAACATGCCAAAACCCATACTCGGAGACATACTGAACGCCGTGACCATCCAATGAACCGGTCTTCGTGGCACGTCTATGTTAAAAATATATCTACCATGCGGGCCAATATTAATGTCCTTCCACAGCCAGACATTTTCGTATTGTCTTTGTATCCTATTAGATCGCCACTTTCGAAACATAGCTATATCAGTGGCGTTTCTGTGCTCGCAAACCGCTTCGTCTGTACCATCCTCGCAATCAAATATTCCGTCGCATTTTTTGTCTAATCTGTAACATCTTCCAGAGAGGCATTCTCCGTATCCCAGCGTCTGATTACAATTATCTGGTCTTCTGTAAACGAAAGCATCCGTGAAAACAACCAATCCAACGTATTCGAAGGTTCTGTTAGCGTCGATACCAAACGTCGAGGATGGGTAGTAGACAACCTCGTCTGGATCACCATCGTGATACAACCAAGTGTGGGAGTGAGTGCCATTCGTTGCTTCATCGAAATGTGCCATTTTCGTAATAACGTTAGAGTATGTTATCTCGTTTCCGGCTTG